CAGAACATCTTAGGTTTAATTTAACAGGGTTATTGTCTTTTAATAAAAACACAGTGTTGCCTCCGGGCACCCTGGTGGCTCAGTCGGTTAAACATCTGCCTTCGGCTCAGGTTGTGATCCCAGGGTCCTGGGATGGAGCGCCACATCAGGCTCTCTGCTCAGGGGGGAGCCTGCTTCTCCCTCTCCCTCTGCAGCTCCCTCTGCTGTTCCCTTGTGCGCTCTCTCTCTGTGTCAAATAAATAAAATCTTTAAAAAAAACCATACACACACACAGTGTTGCCTCAATTATTTTGTTTCTGAGGACAAAATTGGTTTTTATTTTTAATCTTATTGATTATCCTGGCAAAATGTCTTGTTATGAAACCCTTAGTAAGACAGTTTTTGTGTGTATATAATAAGCTCCTGTCACTTCAATGTTTGGAGTCACTTTAATATGATGTGATTTAGCATATAATTTATTTTACTGCTTCTCTAATGTGAGACTATATGTTATTAATTACTTATATTATAAAAAGGCATGCTTTGTTGTATTAGGCTTAATTTTTCAAACAGTAGAATCTTGCAGAGCAGTGGAAGGTGGATTATATGGAAGTAATAATGTAATATGGAGCATAAATTGCATTCATAGAATTCTGTTCAAAAGAATGTTGGGAAAAACACCAAATCCTGAGGAAACTCTATAAGTATATATTACTTAATAACATTGGGAGACAGGGGACCTGGGAGGCGCTCAGTCAGTTAAGCGTCCAACTCTTGATTTCAGCTCAGGTCATGATCTCAGGGTTGCGCTGGGCATGGAGCCTGCTTAAGAGTCTCTCTCTCTCTCCTGCCCTCCGCCTCTAAAAAATAATAAAACAACATTAGAAAACAAAGATTTTATTTATTCATTTGAGAGAGCGAGCAAGCGAGCATGAGCAGGGAGGGGGGGCCGGGGGAAAAACAGACTTCCAGCTGAGTGGGGAGCCGGATGTGGGGCTTGATCCCAGGACTCCGGGATCATGACCTGACCCAAAGGCAGACACTTAACTGACTGAGTCACCCAGGAGCCCTTCAAATAAATAAATCTTAAAGAAAGTTCAGGGGCGCCTGGGTGGCTCAGTTGTTAAGCATCTGCCTTCGGCTCAGGTCATGATCCCAGGGTCCTGGGATCGAGCCCCGCATCGGGCTCCC